ATATATATATATATATATATATATATATATATATATATATCACTTATTTCTTTTTAAACTATTGTAACATGTATTTTACTTATTATTATATTAAATACACCACTATATCTTGCTGGTTCTGGTCCAAATATCTCTTTATGTAAGTGGTTTGGTGTCAAATATCCCAAAAGTTTTTGTGACTTTTAGAAGTGCAGAGGCTGCTTTACTAAAGGTGTTGTAGAGAATCCTCACTCAATAAATTGAGTTTTGATTCAACAGTCATGCAAAAAGCAGATTCCTGTTTATTTATTTCATCTGCACATGACTGGGTATTCAAAGAAAACTCAACTATAACTTTTTTTAGGTGAAAAGTCTCAATATCCTTTAGTAAATCATCCAAATTATTTCAATATCATCTAAAACATACTCCTATGGGGCAGATTTACTAAAACTGGTGCCCACAGAATCTGGCACAGCTGTGCATAGTAACCAATCAGTTTCCAGGTTTTATTAACAAAGCTTCACTGAACAAGCTGAAGTTAGAATCTGATTGGCTACTATGCAAAGCTGCACCAGATTCTGAGTGCTCCATTTTTAGTAAAATCCCCCCCAAAGTGAACGCTTTAAAATTTCTCTTTAGCACTTTGTGAGTGGAATAATGGGGTCTTGCTTATGACTTTATTCTTTATTTTACAGAAATGTTCACGCCTACTATAGTTTGCTATTGTGCTAAATGATGTTTCCAAAATTGCTTCCGGCCCTGAAGTGTTGAAACACAGTAAGTTGCACGGGGGAAAAAAAAAAATCCAACTGCTTTTAATATAGTACTACATAAGAGTTGTAAGGTTTGGAAAAGAAAAAAAATGTATAGACAGTAGCTATAAGTATTTTGAAATATTTATCACTACCACTAATCATAGAACCCCCCCCCCCTCCCCCCCCAAAAAAAAAATTAAAAAAAATGTTCCATTGCCAGATATCTCACAGACAGTTACAGAATATTAGTGAAGTTAATGACTTTAGTCATTAGCCTAATTCTCGTCAAAATAATAGAAAAAAAAATGACCATAATAATGTCCCGCTAATCATCAGATAAATCAAAAGCACTCCAGAGTCTCCTATAATAAAGACATAAATGAAAACACGTCGCATACATTATTTTAAAAAATGACCGTGTCACTAGTTATAACTACCCTGAAAATAAATATGCAATGGCACATTAATGGCGGTCTACTCCAGCCATAATAGGATAATTAATGCGAAGATTAGGCATGTTTTAAAAAAAAGTCCAGGGTCAATAGACTGCTATGGGCTTCGAATGCGTAAATCACTCAGTGGCAGCTAAAAAATGTAAGTAACTGCAAACAGGATTAGGGTCATGTTGATATTGGTTGCATTATGAGGCATCAGGTATGCGGGGAAAAAAACTCACATTTGTGACTTACTACACAAAAAAAAGAAAAAAACCTACATTTGTGACTTACTGCAAATATTGTTTTATTTTTTAAAACTTAAATTTGTGACTTGCTACTTACAGAATTACAAAAACTTACATTTGTGACTTACTACACAAAAAATAAAAAAAAAACTTACATTTGTGACTAACTACACAAAATAAAAATAAAAAAACTTACATTTGTGACTAACTACACAAAAAAAAAAAAAAACTTACATTTGTGACTAACTACACAAAAAAAAATAAAAAAACTAACAAACTTAATTTGTGAAAAAAAAGAATTACATTTGTGACTAACTACACAAAATAAAAAAAAAATTACATTTGTGACTTACTACACAAAATAAAAAAAAAACTTACATTTGTGACTTACTACACAAAATAAAAAGAAAAAACCTTACATTTGTGACTAACTACACAAAATAAAAAAAAAACTTACATTTGTGACAAACTACATAAAATAAAAAGAAAAAAAACCTTACATTTGTGACAAACTACACAAAATAAAAATGAAAAAAACTTACATTTGTGACTAACTACACAAAGTAAAAAAAAAAAACTTACATTTGTGATTAACTACACAAAATAGAAATAAAAAACCTTACATTTGTGACTAACTACACAAAATAAAAAGACAAAAACCTTACATTTGTGACTTACTACACAGAATTATAAAAAAAAAAACTTACATAATTTTAAAAAAAAATATGTTTTGTGAAGGAAAAATAAGAAAAAAAAATCACAATTCCTGAAAAGTGTTATGTATATAACTTCATATTAAATAACTGACTCCCTGAGGTGATATAAAACAATAGCAATGGGAATTTTTATGAAATCGTGTTCTGCTGTTTTCTAAAAGCTTACCATTTTGTTCATTTTTCCAACGCAGATATAAATATGCGATTTGTGCGTAAGTATGAAAATGTAGCTCCCTTTGGGAAAAGGTATAAAGCATAGATATAAAGGTGTAAACCTTAAATGTTCTTTTTTTTTTTCAAAATGCTATTTTTATAAATATGTATATATATATATATATATATATATATAAATATAAACACATATTTATGTGACTGTACAATATATATATGTAAAGTGCTGCGTAAAATTGACAGCGCTATATACCTGTCATAAAATAAATAATAAATAAAATATATAGTGTTGCGTGCAGAACCGTATGTTTAAGAGATAAAAATTGCCAATTTGAGGTACAGAAATATGTGGTGCCCGCTTTATAACGATGGGCAAACAGATGTTTTGCTCATGCTTTATTGATATTTGTAGTTAGTAATTTAATTGGGTTATCACTTGACGAACTAAAAAATATACATTCTTTTTCAAGGTGTGATTTTACCTTCCAAAGACAAAACAATAACAAAATATATATATATATATACATATCTATATATGTGTGTGTGTGTGTGTATATATATATATATATATATATATATATATATATATATATATATATATATTTGTTTATTTTATATTATTTATGATGATGTGAACGTACAATATATATATATATATATATATGTAAAGCGCTGTATAAATTGACTGCGCTATAATATAAAATTTAAAAAATGGGGCAGTCTCGATGGACAGCTTGGTCTTTTTCTGCCTTTTTCTGCCACCGCTCTTCTATGTTTCTATGATTTGACATGTACCACCTTGCTTCTATCTTGTGCAGGTACATTTATTGCGGACACCGTCCCATCCCCAGCGCTTGAGTGTTTAGTAGATTATTTATTACAATGAAAGTTCTAATTAGTACGATAGATAAGTATTTCGCAAATGCTATTCCTGATGCAAAAGGTCGTTCATTTTTTATTTTGTTAAACGTTTTAAAGTCCAATTTTCAAATATAAACAATGTAGCCAATGCTTTCAGCTTGCATCACCTATTTTACACTAGTTCATAAACCTACAATGCCGGGTTATTATGACCTGCAAAGATCCGATCTCTCATTGCAATAATCACCACATTAATACCCGCTGTTAATGTACAACGTCCTATTTCAGGCCTGAGAAGATTTTAAAAAAATATTAATATCATGTCTTTTACTATCAACTACGGGTGCTGGATCAACTATGGGTATAGGATAGTGCATATGGGGGTTTTTTATTTGTGTTTTTTTTTCTGTTCGTTGAACTAGATGGACTTGTGTTTTTTTGTTTTTTTTTTTCACTTTTTTCAACCTATGTAACTATATATCTATGTAACTTGATTTTATAAGTGGCATTACAAGCTAAGATGTTACATTTTATAAGTACCTGAAATAAATAAATCTAACAGACAGAAATACCTATTATCCCATTAAGAAGTATTACTAAAGGTACTCTTATCGCAGGTCACAGAGCTGTTCTAGAGTTATATATTTGACATAATCCTTAAAGAATGACTAAACTAACAAATGACTATGAATGAGATAATAAAAGGCCCGACGCATGGTATAGAATCTACCGCTGTAGAATTCACTGCTGTTAAGCTGTCAGATCAGCGGAGAGCTTCCTGCCAAATGACAGTGATAGAACTCCCATTGTAGATGCAAAATAATAATAATCTGGTACAAGCTTGAAAAGTAAAATTTCAACATTTTAGAGTAATAAAAGATGTATTTAGTATAGATAGACAGATGTATAGGTAGATAGAAGGAAAGATTGTTGGGGAAAAAAAGAAATCGATCCATGGATGATTGATTGATTGATTAATTGATTGATTGATTAGTAGATAGATAGGTAAATTGTAAATAGATAGATAAATACAGTAGATAGATAATAGGTGAATGATAGATAGATAGATAGATAGATAGATAGATAGATAGATAGATAGTAGTTACATTGATTGATTGATTAGTAGATAGGTAAGTAGATTATAGATCGATAGATACAGTAGATAAATAGATACATTGTAGTTAGATTGATTAATTAGTAGATAGATAGATAGATAGATAGATAGATAGATAGATAGATAGATAGATATGGATAGATAGATAGATAGATAGATAGATAGATAGATAGATAGATAGAGATAGATAGATAGATATGGATAGATAGATAGATAGATAGATAGATAGATAGATAGATAGATAGATAGATAGTTAGATTGGCTGATTGATTGATTAGTAAATAGATAGATAGATCTGGCCAGCTATAAAATGTAAATATGTAATGAACCAATGAGCCAGATCAGATAGATAGATAGACAGACATATAGCTATAGTAGATAGGTAATAGATACATTTTACTTAGATTGAGTAATAGATAGATAGATAGATAGATTGTAATTACATTGATTGATTGATTGATTGATTAGTAAATGTATAGGTAAATTGTAGATAGATAGATAGATAGATAGATAGATAGATTGATCTGGCCAGCTACAAAATTTACATATATAATGAACTGTTGAGCCAAAAAAACATATTACCAGAATAATATTATAAAACAAATTTAGTTTTGTGTTTTTTCGTTTTACTCACAACAGTAATTTAGAGAACGCACATTGACATTTTGGACCATTAAACTTTTTTTATCACAGTGCTGCTATTGGTGCTGAAATGTAGGACCTAGGACCTAGTTTCTAGGAATTTAGGATGACGGTCACGGGATGAAACCCCCCCCCCCCCCCCCATCAGGTCCCTTGTAAGCTTTCTCTTACCTGAGCTGTCACTTTTCCTTTTGGCCGTCCTCTTGTCCATGTCAGAAGGGGAGAGTGTCTGCCTGCCATAGTCCCCACTTGCGCAAGCCGAACCAGAAGAGCTGTTACTACTGCCCAAGTTAGAGGCATTTGAACACAAAATAGAGGGGCTGTTTCCTAGTTCTGGGGGTCCCGAATCCTGCTGGAGGCAGAGGCTATGCCTGGGGGAGGCCAGAGGAGAAGACATCTGAGGAATGTGCCAGTTGGATTGCAAGCTCTGGTGCTGCTGCTGCTGGTGGTGATGATGGTGGTGGTGGTGATGGTGGCCTCGGTGATGCTGGCTACCGAACATGCCCTCCTCATTGGGGTAGCCGGCGATGATGCAAGACGAAGAAGACGTGGAGAGGTCGGGGTAGGACATGTGGTCGGATCTTCCATGCAGCGCCAGGGACGACTGTGAAAAGGGGTGCAAGCCTTGCGAGGCGGCATGAGGGCTGCGCAGGCAGCCGAACAACGTGTGTTCCATGGCATGCGAAGTTCCAACTGTTGCGAGACGGGAGAGTTAGCGAAAAGGATTAAACTCCACACGGCTGTCACTTTTCACTGTAAAATGATATAGGCTTTTTTTTTTTTCCTCTCCCTTCCTCCAAATAATACCGGGAGCACCGATCAGATAATCCAGGTCTTCTCGTCAGTGGTGGCCACTCTCCTAGGCTTGAACCTTCTACACTGACCCAAATGAGCTGCTCTCTGTGAGCTACTCAGATGTCAAGAGTAGGAGAGGTTAAAGGCAGCAGAAGGTGGTCCCATGAAGCTGCTTTAAGGGGGAAACAGCTCGCAGAGGATATAAATAGTGTGTAATGTGAGCCGGGGGCTGGCTTAGCAACACAGTACTGACCACAAACTCTCTCCAAAACTTTAGGAGGGCTGTGTGTACAATGCTGCAGCATCACCAGCTCCCCATAAGACCAAGCCGGAGACACGGCAACACCGAGCTTACCTTCCACCAAGTCCCACCATGACCCTGGACAAGTCAAAGTCACCGGAGGCAAGGAGATCTGCTGACATGGGATCTGACGCAGGGGGCCTGTGCTTCATGGATGCCTATACCTCATGTGCATTTTTGAATCATTATACCTAAAAGAAAATAAAAGTAGTTAGTAAGTAAGTAAAAGAAAATAAAAAGTAGTTAGTAAGTAAGTAAAAGAAAATAAAAGTAGTAAGGGCAGATTGCTTTAATCATGGAGTGATCCTTTAATTTTCCTTCTGAATGATACATCTTAAAGGACTGTGATGCTCATTGTGGAATTTAAAGAAGAACTCCAGGTATAGATATTTTATTTAAAATTATATTGGACCAATGTAACTATGTATATACCATACCTGGCTGATGCTCCTGGAAACTGAAAATTACTGTAGTAGATGCCGCTATTCCAGTAAACTCCACCACCGGCCAGGTCCCTGCCACAGCAGATGCCCTGCTGTATTCTAGTTGGCTAATTGGCACGGGCAGCGTTCAGAGAATGCTTTACATTTTCTAAATGAATGCAAAGCATTCGCTGATTGGATGAGGTGAAAAGGCTAAACGGTGATATCATACTCTCCCCCTCATCCAATAATAGAATCCTTTGCATTGATTCAGAAAATGTAAAGCATTCTCTGAAGGATGCCCATGCCAAGCAGCCAACCTCCTTTGTTCACAATGTAACAGAGAAGCCTCTTGGCCCGGGATCCCGAAAGCTAGGGGAGATCACTGGAGTAATGGTGTAGTATTGGTGCCTATAGCAGTGATTTCCAGCTGCCATGGGGATCCCACAGGTATGGTACATACTACACATAGTGACATTGGTCCTAGCTGGACCAACGTAATTATGTATACCAATATTCCTGAACCCTTTCATCCCAGAGGAACACTTGAAATAATTTTCAGGTCTTAGGGAACTACTGGTAAGATTGGTCTATCATGGGTCATTGAGAAAATGCCCCATACATTGGTGGTGGTAGGAGGGAAGAATGTACCCCTACAGGGGTGGCCAGAATGACACCTTTGTAGTTATTCTGCTGGTTCTGCCAATTGGCACTGAACCTGGAACTATGCAGGAACCATTTGATGTGGATGGGGGGAGGGTGCAGATAGGCACAGCTCAAGGAATCCCTAGCTATCTTTGGAGGAACCCTTGAAATAATTTTCTCAGGGAACCCCTGGTAACATTAGTCTATCAAAGGTCATTGGGAAAATGCCCCTTACATTGGTAGTGGTAGGAGGAAAGAATGCCCCTCTTACAGGGGTGGCCAGAATTACACATTTGCAGGTACTCTGTTGGAGTTGGACCTGGAACTATGCAGACAACATCACATGGGGGTTCAGTTAGGCACAGCTGAAGGAATCCCTAGCTATCCTTAGATGAACTAATTTTCTCAGGGAACCCCAGGTAACATTAGTCTATCACGGATCTTTGGGGAAATGCCCCTTACATTGGTGGTGGTAGGAGGGAAGAATGTACCCCTACAGGGGTGGCCAGAATGACACCTTTGCAGTTATTCTGCTGGTTCTGCCAATTGGCATTGAACTTGGAACTATGCGGGAACCATTTGATGGGGATGGGGGGAGGGGGAAGTTAGGCAGAGCTCAAGGAATCCCTAGCTATCTTTGGAAGAACCCTTGAAATAATTTTCACAGGGAACCACTGGCAAGATTAGTCTACCAAGGGTCAATGGGAAAATGCCCCTTGCATTGGTGCTGGTAGGAGGCAAGAATGGACATGGACCTGGAACTATGCAGACACCATCAGATGGGGGGTCAGTTAGACACAGCTCAGGGAATCTCTAGCTATCCTTGGAGGAACCCTTGAAATATTTTTCTCAGGGAACCCCTGGTAAGATTGATCTATCAAGGGTCATTGGAAAAATGCCTCTTACATTGGTGGTGGTAGGAGGGAAGAATGCCCCCTTACAGGGGTGGCCAGAATGTCACCTTTGCAGGTATCCTGCTGGTTCTACCAATTGGCATTGAACCTGGAACTATACAGGAACCATTAGATGGGGATGGGGGGGTTCAGTTATGCACAGTTCAAGGAATCCCTAGCTATCCTTCGAGGAACCTTTGAAATAATTTTCTCAGGGAACCCCTGGTAACATTAGTCTATCACGGGTCTTTGGGGAAATGCCCCTTAGAAGAATGCCCCCCCCCCCACAGGAGTGGCCAGAATGACACCTTTTTCAGGTATTCTGCTGCTGTTGGACCTGTAACTATGCAGACATCATCAGATGGGGGGTCGGTTAGTTAGCCACAACTCAAGGAATCCCTAGCTACTCTTGGAGGAACTCTGGTGGAGAATGGCCAATGTATACAATATCTGTTCTGTCTCTCCAATCTAAGCATTGATAGTGTGATCTCTGTAACTTACAGTTGTGGTGAGATAGCGATAACTCCAACCTCAGTTGGATACCACAGTCAGTGACTCAATCGATAAGACATCTTGCAGATCTTGTATAGTTTATTCCATAAACTGAGAGAATCTTACAACAATGAACATTTGATAGGTCAAAAGATCATAATGTTTCCTGCTCCATGACATGAGGCTTGCTGCAATGACTTACTGGGAAAGGGGTGGGATATCTATACAGCATTAACTAAACCAGAGGAAAGGGAGGAGCAGAGACAAGATATAGAAAACACTTAAAGGCATATGACAGTCATGTGAAACATGACAATATCCAATCCTGGAATCCCTCTTTAAATTCTCCTTTCCCCAGATTTCGGTTAGCTTCATGCAATAAATTATTATACGGTAACTGAAAGGCGGAAGGATTCTGCCAGTAAAAGCTGTTGTGAATTTTTTTCAAAGCATGATACTCAATCTCTGGAGGTGCAACAAACTATATTAACCGCTGCGTCAGCCTGAGCCAGGTCACCGCGCAGATCATAAGAAATCAGATGCAGATGTTTGAGACAAATGATCCCGCCATAAATTAATTCATATTAAAAAAAACACTCTAGTGAACTAACAGAGGACACGTATGTATCATAACTGGAGCTACGAAATGAGTTAAGGAGGATTATTCCCAAAAGTCAAGATTTCGGTCTTGTTTGAAAGGTGTAATCTGATTGGTTTATATCAGCGGTCACTAAATGGTGGACCCCGGTCAGAGAACGGCCCCAGCAGCACTCCCTTCTGGAGCGCCAGCCCGCACTGACAGATCCGCCACTGAGCAGGGTGGTCATCATGGCAACATGACATCACATGTGCACCCCGCCCCTTGCAGCTTACTGTCTCTCCGGCTCCCTGTCTGTACACAAGTATCCAGCAAGGATCCCGGAACAGCTCCTGTCTGCCCTCAAGGTAGGGGGTGTAGTCTTACAGGGGCACTCTGATGGGCAGATGTTATGTTAAGGGGCACTCTGATGGGCACATTGAAGGTTAAGGGGCACTCTGATGGGCACATGTTATGTTAAGGGGCACTCTGATGGGCACATGTTATGTTAAGGGGCACTCTGATGGGCACATGTTATGTTAAGGGGCACTCTGATGGGCACATTGAAGGTTAAGGTGCACTCTGATGGGCACAACATAGAATGTGCCCATCAGAGTGCCCCTTAACATAGAATGTGCCCATCAGAGTGCCCCTTAACATAGAATGTGCCCATCAGAGTGCCCCTTATTTTACGTTTTGGGGCACTCTGATGGGCACAGTTTTATGTTAGAAGGGGGCACTCTGATGGACACATGTTATGTTATGGGGCACTCTGATGGGCACATTTTATGTTGAGGGGGCACAAATGGGCACATACTGTGGGGGGCACTCTGATGGGCATCTTTTATGTTAAGAAGGCACTCTGATGGACACATGTTATGTTAAGGGGCACTCTGATGGGCACATTTTACGTTAAGGGGCACTCTGATGGGCACATGTTATGGGGCACTCTGATGGCACATGTTATGTTAAGGGGGCACTCTGATGGCACATGTTATGTTAGGGGGCACTCTGATGGGCACATGTTATGTTATGGGGCACTCTGATGGGCACATGTTATGTTATGGGGCACTATGATGGTCATATTTTATGTTAAGAGGCACTCTGATGTGCACGTTTATGTTAAGGGGGCACTGTTGGACAATGTTATGTTAAGGGGGCACTCTGATGGGCACATGTTATGTTAAGGGGGCACAAATGGGCACATACTGTGGAAGGAGGCACTCTGATGGGCACATGTGATGGAAAGGGGCACTCTGATGGGGAATATTATGGAAGGTGGCAATGTGATGGCGACACCTAATGTAAGGGGGCACACTGATGGGCACACCCTATTCGAACCTCGGCCAGAAGAAATTTTTAGTGACTGGACCTCCTTGAGTTTTAATTCAGTACCCCGGTTTATATGGACAACGCCACCTTGGCCAAAGTCTTCTTTATTCCAGTGTTTATAAATTCGGCCATTGTCTCCAAATTGAAAATGGCTTTCAGCCCTCCTTTATAACCAGCTGTCTGAAGGGAACATTTACATAGGCACAGATTCCCATGGCC